GTGGTGTACTGGTGCTTTAAACCCACCAGTGAAACATTGCCTGTGGCAGTGTGGCACAGCTGACTGCTGGCCCCTCCTCTACCAGTAGGCGCCAACCTGCCTCTCACAGGACCAGTACGATAGAAGTTGACTACCGCTCCATGGTGAGGCTGCCTTCCTTGTCGTCCTCCGCCGGCCCCCCCCCCCCCCCCCCCCCCCCCCCCCCGCAACCACCAAACACGCTGCTCCCTCCCCCATCCTCTTCCTCCTGTTGTTGGTACTCTTCCTCTTTTGCATCGCGACTATTGCCCACTGGGTTCGACAAAAAAAGGACACTGTCGTCAATCAAGCTATTCTCTTTTTGACTCCCAACTCTCTCCCAGTAGGTTCCATGAAATAGACCTCAGGGTTTCTTCAATTTTCTTTTTTCTCAATCTTTAATCCTCAGGATTTAGGGTTTGATCATCTTTTACTTCCAGGAGTCTTCTCCTAGCGCAAAAGTTTCTTCAGCCACTCGTGATTCGTCTCTTGCTCGTGGTTCGTTTTGTAGCGATTCTTCCTTGAACCACCAGTACATCCGGAAATGCAGATTGAGCCTGTCCGAAAAATTCGGAGTCCATGGACCGTCCATAAAATGAGTTGGTGGATCATGGCCTCCTTTTTTTTTAGGAGAGGCCCAGTCTCCTTTTCCTGATGTACTGGTGGTTTAAGTTACTTTGGTTCGCCTTTATTCGTTTTTTTTTGTTCTTTTCCCCCAAACTTTTCATCTCAACGTTTCACTTTTTTTCTACTTTACTATTCTTCTCTTATTGCACGATTCTCCCATTCTTCTCTTATTGCACGATTCTCCCATTCTTCTCTTATTCCACAATCCTCCCATTTTGCGATTTCTGCTTCCACATTGTGACGCTTCGTCTACTTTATTATTCTTGTTCCAGTTCACAATTCTTCTTCTCCCTCACGGCTCTTTGATTAGTACAGGATCCTTCTTCTACTTCATGATCAACTCTTCTGCGGCCGTGCTCTCTTGTTGTTTTTCTCCTTCGAATTGCAGTCCTTTTGTATTAGGACACAAATGAGGATGCAATTCTTCTTCACGGTTTTTCTCCCTTCATGTTCCTACTCGCCTACTGCCGCTTTTTCTTCAAATTACCAGCGCATACTAGGGCATGACATTGCCGTCGTCCCCGACATGGTCATCCTTATCATTGTCGTCATCATCATGGTGTAGAGGGACATGGTGTATGTCGAGCGTCCGCAAAGAACCTTGTTTCCCGGAGATAGGATTGCATGTAAGTGTACTCCGGAGTCCGAGAGGATGATCCATCCCCCACAAGAGGACTTCGGTGCTTAGGATTCTTGCGGACGCTCATCATCATGTAAGTGTACTCTGGATTGCATGTAAGTGTACTCTGAGGACAAGGCACAAGGGCGGTGCTTAGGATTCTTAGGATTGCATGTAAGTGTACTCCAGAGCCTGAGACGATGATCCATCTCCCATGAGATGTACAGCACATTATGTTATTTCACTTATTATGGCACCGTGCACCGGACTCGATGAAATGCTGGGAAACAAGGTTCTTTGCGGACGCTCGGCAAGGGGGTATGATTCCACCAGTGCAACCGCCGGCCCTTTGAAACCGGCCCCCATGCACGCGGAGGTGAGCTTTTGATGTACCAGCCCCTCCTGCTGCCGGTCTGATATGTACGCGATGGGACGTGCTGACCGGTATAGTTGACGTTCCGTTGGCCGGTAGGTGTCGGCTGTGAGGAGGATGCAACACTGGGGGATACTGGCTAAAACCTTGCCCAAGTACTCTCTCACTTCCATGGCCCAGGAGTCGGGCCAACCTGGAAGTAATGTTGTTGAGGTTGACCCCGCAATGAGGCCCTTCTGTTTGGCAGTATCCGCTAATGGTTTCCAAGCAGACCAATGTAGAGAGCATGTGAGTGACCGTGAGCATTCACGAGTTGGCAGACATGAGTCCTACACAGATGAGGAATGTGCTTTCTGTCTTGCTGCCAAGAGGCGTCGTCAGATGGCCAGTTGGGCCCTGCTGATATGGGTTTTGACCCTCTCCAAGAAGTGACAGATAGCAGAAGATTTACAATGTTTGGTGTGTGGCTGTGAACGCTTGTCCGTGGGCGTCTGACCATCGATGCTTTGCGTACTGTGGAGCAGGAGTGGCTAGTTGTCGTGATGCTTGTGAGGGAGGCTCACAATCATCAATTCTCTGCACACTGCATACCCTAGAGTCTCAGGTGTTTTAAGCACAACTTGCCTGGGCAGGACTAAAGGGTCTGTGGTGCATGCCATGCCCCACCAGTAGATCAAAAGACGTTTGCCATCCTCCCGATAAGGCGTTTTGTTGCCCTGATGGCTATAGAGTGTTTGCAATCCTCCAGGTAAAGTGTTGGGGACAACACACCGCTCTGAGACTTACCAAGGAGGATCTGTTTTCCTGCCATTGGGGAGGTCACGCGTTTAGACATTCGATCCCATAACTTTTAGATGCTTGAAACAGAGTTGTGTTCGTAGCCTGTTGAGCATCCAGTCGTCTTTTGGTTAAAGCGGCGGCACTGCTGTGCGTATCATTGGCGAAGCGTCAGCGCAGGATCCACAAGCAGACCTGTCGTCACATCCTAGACCACTGGCTGTGAGTCGCTGTTGTTTAGTGAATGGAGTGCGTCAGGGTTGTTATCTGCTCATCATGACATCTGTCAAGAGGCCAGAATGCTACAGGGCTTTGCCTGGATGCAAACTGCTTCTCTGTAGAATAGGAGTACAGTACTGATGTAACCAACAGTCTGGCGGAACTTGCGCTGCAGCAGGCCCGCAATCTATATGGGAGTGGCGCATGAGTGGAAGGGGGTTGACTCCTCGATAGTGAGAGTTAGGTGAGGCGATGAGGAAGTTGATAGTGCCATGAAAATAATGCCCTTGTCATCATCTTCTTCATAACTTACTATATCTTTTTCAGGCCCACATTATATATGGGAAAGGCTCGGAGACATCGGTCCTGAGGTGGGCGGAGGAGGTCGAAATGGTGATGTACAAATTTTTAGCAGGATCATTAAGAGAGTTGCTGGCTGATGAATCCACACAGCCAGGCATAAAGTATAGCTTGGTCAACTGTAATGAATCGTAATAATGCGATGCCTCGATCTGAAGAGTAACCGATGACGAGTTTGTGTATCTGTAGGCCTTGGGATGTTTTTTGCTTCGGGTTTCTAACTTTGGAGCCTTACCAAAAGGCGGATTGTGGCACGTGTCCATTCTAGTGTAGCATCTGTTTTGCTTCAGAAGGAAGTACATTTTCGGAGAGAACGTTGCAGAGTAGATGGTTGGGATTTGGCCATGTGGGAGGGTTGTGGTGGAACCTCCTACTACAGGTTTGAGAGTGAGAGATGGGTGGTCAGGTCCACCTTCCCGTCCGAAGGATCTGTTCTGATCAGTTTAAAATCTGATCTGTCGTCCATCGGGCACAATAAATAAGTAAGTAAATTATAAATAAATAAATAAATAAATAAATAAATAAATAAATGCAGCTGCTCACTTACAATGCACAATATTCTCCTATCTTGTAACTGGGACACTGGACGCGGTTTCCAACTGCTGCAGCTTCCCACTAACCAATTGGAGCCTTCTGCAAAGGGGGACTACTCTTAATGGGGGCTCTTATCACCTCCAAACATAGGTCTCTTGCGGATGCTTCAAAAGAATTGAAAAAGGAAAGAAAAAAGTTGATCCGTACATTCGAAAGTTGTACGGTGGGTCAGTCTCGGAGGTAATGGTGGCTTTAATCACTGAAAGCGGTGTTGCTTGGCGGGTTCAGCAGCACAACTTCCCACATCACCTGTGCAAATCAGTTTTTCTCCACATAGGTATGGAGGTAGCGGTGGTTTAAATCGTTGAAAGACGTATCTCTTGGTGGATTGAGCAGAGAGGACAACTACCAGCCAGACCACCTATGCAAATCATGTTTTTTTTACCATTTTTTTTTTTTTTTAATTTGGACCATTTCTCGGTTTATGTGTGTCATCCTTGCGCAGGGGCCATGCTAATCTTCTTTTCTCTGTATCGTTCCAATTGTAACGGATGTGTCCCGAAGGACCCCTTTTCAACATTTTTGAAAAATGTAAGAGTGAAGGAAATGAGTATCTTGTTTAGGGAAGCGCAATACAAGCGGTTACAAACATCTTTTGTCTGTGATGGCTTACTAGGGCTTTACTATGGAGGTGAAATGTCAAGGCATAAATTTAGAAGAAAAAAAGAGTTCAAAGATCTGTATGAAGGGGACAGCTTGCTATCTATTAAAAGAAAGCTAATAAACAATTTTCACAACATCGGGTTTGAATCTCTCTCTCTCTCTCTCTCGCTCTCGCTGCGTGTGTGTGTGTGTGTGTGTGTGTGTGTGTGTGTGTGTGTGTGTGTGTGAGAGAGAGAGAGAGAGAGAGAGAGAGAGAGAGAGGTCTTGTGAATACAAGCGGTTACAAACATCTTTTGTCTGTGATGGCTTACTAGGGCTTTACTATGGAGGTGAAATGTCAAGGCACAAATTTAGAAGAAAAAAAGAGTTCAAAGGTCTGTATGAAGGGGACAGCTTGCTATCTATTAAAAGAAAGCTAATAAACAATTTTCACAACATCGGGTTTGAATCTCTCTCTCTCTCTCTCTCTCTCTC